GAGGGTCTCGGGAGCTTTCCGTCTGCCTTTCTTGGAGATGGAGTATGAGGCAGGAACGGCCTCATGCCCCACGTGCTTCCTCCAGCGCACACTCCTGCGGCCACTCTTCCTCGCACCCCGTCTCGTGGCCTCGCTCCCCTTTCTGTCTTTCACACGCTCTTTCCCCCGAGAGAGGCAGGGTCTTGCTAGAGAAGGTGTGGTGATCAGGAGAAGGGTTTTCCCGCACGCCCGGGATTCCTCTGGTGTGTCCCCCTCACCCCCAGATCATCTAATTCCTCTCTGCTCTTTTCCTGCTCCCCGTGGGCTGTCCTGAGCACAGAAGAGCAGCAGCGAGGTAGAGACCCATCCTGGCTGGGGGTGAACAGGGCTGGTGGGAGTCGGGGCTGGGGGCGCAGGGTGAGACTTGCCCCTTGGGAGCAATCAGGACTGGAGGTAGGAGGGGATGATTGCGGGTGGAGGCCGTCTTCAGCCCTCTCCACCTGAGCTGATGACATTTGCTGTGGTCCCCAAAGGCGGTGCCCCCGGACAGGCTCCAGCATCTGCGCCAGGCCCAGGGCTGGTGAAGGACTCGCCGCTGCTGCTTCAGCAGATCTCTGCCATGAGACTGCACATCTCCCAGCTGCAGCGCGAGAACAGCGTCCTCAAGGTGAGCGGGTCCTGGGGAGGACGGGTCGAGGTGGCGTATAGCTGCCTCACTGATGACAGGGGGCAGGGCCTGCCCCTCTCACCGCCACCCCTCTTGCCTCGTCCCCTCCTTCACAGGGAGCCCAGATGAAGGCGTCCTTAGCAGCCCTGCCCCCTCTGCATGCGGCGAAGCTCTCCCTCCCACCCCACGAGGGCCCTGGCAGTGAGCTAGCCTCTGGAGCGCTGTACCGCAAGACCACCCAGCTGCTGGAGACGTTGAATCAGCTGAGCACGCACACCCGTGTGGTGGACATCACCCGCGCCAGCCCTGGTATGGACCTGCCAGCTCCTGGGATGAACCACAGATCCCCGCCTTGCCCCAGAGATGTAGTCCCTGCCCGGGCAGTTCTCACGCCGGGAGGCTCCTCCAGCACTGCTCCGTGGCCTCTGTGTTCAGTTTGCTCGGCTCACCTGCTCTCTTCCGTGTCTGCCCCGTTGGAGGGTCCAGCATTTGCACTCTTGACCCTTAGCCCAGCTCGGCTGCCTGCCTGGGCCTTGGTGGCCTCACTAGCCTGCTCTCCCCA